AATGGCATTTTGGAAGCAATTCAATTTAAGACACTGCTTAGAAGTGGTTAAATTCACATGGGAACATGTGAATTCATCAACAATGTATGCTTGCTGGTATTATATCTGGCTGTAAGTTGTCAACAATTTAAAAAGATTTCCATCGATTGAAAATGAAGCCAAGGAAATCACACAAATTGTAAAAGCAATAGGTTATGAAAGATTTTTAGATATGGAAGAAAGAGAAATCAAAGAATTAACCCATTTTTTCCATACAAACTTAAATTTGTGAAACATGATTTTGGTATATGCGCAATGTGTTAGTGATGTAACACCCATGCTCAGTAAGGTGTTACTGTAAATAATTCAGTAGAAATACACTATAATCACAAATCTGGAATTGGAGCCAAACTTGCTTGTGCAGGGGAACAGACTGCACTAACCACCATTCTGTCAAAAGGCTTCTTGTGCTAAAAGGGAACCAATGAAGTTTTCAGTTGATGGTTTTATTTAGCGAACACCAAGTGCATAATGTGATATTTCAGTAAAATATAAAAATGGAATAAAATATATTTAATAAATTATGTGAAATAAGGCATGGTAAAAAATAATTACGGTCATTAATAACATTAATTAAGTATTTATAAAGTGTTTTGTATACTATGCAAACACTATACACTACTTAACAGTATACTTCTCTTTCTCTCAAAAATACCTAGAGCAAAGGATTCTCACATTTTACCCTAATTGCAAAAATTATATAGCAGTAAAAAAAATCCCATACCTTTTATGTCAGAGGGTGCAATTTCAAGAAATAACAAAGGAAATCAAAAAGTAAATACTTTAAGAAAAGTCTTATGGATCAATAAAGTTTTCCAGAAGCAATGAAACATTAGTATGAATTCAGCATGCACATTTATAGCAATTTCATAATGTTACAGCTCATTCTTAATGGATACACAATTTGTTATAACTTTTATCGGGTTTTAACAAAAGTTTCCCATTATCACAAATATTGTCTGCACAAACAGTTTGCGTTGGCGTGTTTAATCATATTTTGTCAAACAATTTTTGGCATTTGAAAGAAAGAGAGATGCTTTAGAACACTGTTTTGTGAAATTTGTAAAAATAATATCGGTATCATTAAGTACAAAGTGTCTGAAATGGAACCATCACACTACCAGATTAGAATCATCATTTACTTCCAGTTCTTTGTGAAAACTCTGCTAAAGAATGTCACCAAATCATGTGTACAGCTTTAGGTACTAATAGTATATCATATGACAAAATGAAGGTTTAGTACTGAAAGTTTGAAAACAAGGACTATGAAATACAAGAAGCAGAGCATTCTCAATGGTCTACTGATGTTGATGAGGCCAGACTCCAAGAAACTGTGGAAGAAGATCAGTATGCAACCATTTGAGAGTTTGCTAAGGAGTTAGACATTAGTGCCATGTCCTTTAGTTGCACCCCATAAACTTGATATACAAGTTCAGTCGCTGGGTGCAGCATGAGCTGACTCGAGAAGATAAGGGCAGACGTGTTTGGGAATGCACTAATCTGCTCAAATATCAACTCAAGGACAAAATTCTGGACTAGATCGTGACTTGTGATGAAAACTGGATTTACTTAAAAAAAAAAGGCCGAAAGGGGGGTTGGTCTATGTTCGGTGAGCCTGTCGGCAGCGTCGCAAAGTGCAATTTGACTAACAAAACAGATCATGCTTTGTATCTGGGGAGATTACCATGGAATTATGTACAAAAAGTATCTGGTAAAACTGTCAACAAAAAAAAAAAAAAAAAAAAAAAAAAAAAAGTTGACAAAAAAGGTAAAACCGTAGACAGTAAGGTGTACAGAGAGATGCTAGTCTGTGTTGACACTGCTATCAAGGAAAAACGTTGAACTGAATTCTGGCACAAAAAGGAATGTTACATCAAGATAATGTAAGACCACATGTCTCTGCATTCACTGGCTGCACTCTGTATGGACTCGATGGGATCTTTTGCCACATCCACCATATAGCGCCTCAACATCGCTCCTTTGGACATCTATCTTTTTTCACACCTGCAGCTACATCTTGCTGGTGCTATCTTTCATTCTACACAAGACGTTCAAAATTAGGTTGATCTGTTTTTGGACTTGTGGCCACCAAGTTTCTGGGTCAAAAGCTTTGAAAAACTACCAAAACACTGGCAGAAAATTTGGGTGGTGATTATTACCCGTGCTAATATATTACGTTCATGTTTTTTTCCCCTAACTTTATTAAGGACGCTTTCTGGAGGAAAGCTTTGATTACAACCAGATATTTCTTAAGTTTTTAGTGACAATGGACCAGCTGATATTTGGGCACAATTGTGTTTCATATTTCCAGATAGCTGTGTAGCTCTCAAAGCTTAGCAAGCTTTTACCTGCATTTCCACAGCCTAGCAGGATTATTAAGCTTCGTCAGTAACTGATTTTTTTTTTTTAGTTTCCATTAAATGACCAGAATATATACTTACCAAAACTTTCACAAAGTCTCGTAGGTGACAAAGGAACAGTTGATCGAAGATCTAGACCTTCAAGCTCCTTGCAGCATTTTATACTGTGAGTTTTACGGGATAGGGGAGGAGCAGAAGATATAGTTGGCGAACTCAGGCGCCTCACTTTCTGTTCTGCTTCTGGTGGATCACAAGGATTAGAATTTAGGGCAAGGTTAAGGCCTTTTCTTTCAGCTACTTCTTTGGCTTTCATTTCGACACTGGGCAAAAATACATCAGGATTGGCTTCAAGGTTCCTCGATACACCACAGCTAGACTGTTCAGAATTCTCAGATGAAAAAGACCTCATATTATCAGTATTTACATTTCCTGATACACTTAGATCTTCGAGCCACTTCACACGATCTGATACTAAGCCATCTGATGAACTATTCTTCTGTGGTTCATCTGTACATGCTGCAGGAAATCTTGAACTGTACAATCTAGATTTATAGTCTGAAGCTACAGAAAAATAACTAGCATCCAGTGACAAGGAGCGAGCAGCCTGAGGAGTAGGTTTTGGTACTTCAACAGTTGTATTTTCTTGGTTATTAAGGACAACAGATACGCGGAAACGTCCCCTTAGAGAATTCTGAGATGTATTACTATTTATCAGTTTATTACTGCTCTGCTGTTGAAGTTCTGCAGGCAATGAGGTGGGAAGCACATGAGAAAATATACCATTGAAAAGGGTGGATAACTGAGCATCTTGAGGAGGTAAGGAATTTTTGGCTTCTTTGTTTCTTTGGCAAAACTTTGTAATCTCTTGAAGTTCATGCTGACGATCCTTGATGGGCTCACTCTAGAATGTTTAATTAATACATAAATGTTAAATCTATAAATGAATAAATATCTTTAACATGCTACTAAATAAATAATTTTACAAAATCATCAAGTCAGAGTTACTTTTTAATAATGAACACTTTTATTTTACAAAATAGCAATACAAAGTATAAAAAATATTAGCAGATTTTTTTAGAAGTTGCATTAAAAAACAACAACAACAACAACAAAAAAAAAAAAAAAAAAAAAAAAAAAAAAAAAGTCTCAAAAAGTATAATAAAAAGAAATAAATTTTTTTTGCCAAGTTCTTCCATATTACATTTTGTTAATACAAAAATAACTACTATCCTCCCCCTTTTTATCCTTTCCTCTTCCCCAGCCGGGAAGGAGGGACTTTCAGTTATTACACACATATGCATAACAAAATGGTGAAAAGGAGAGGAAATAAAATAAATAAATAACACACATAGCAGTGTAAAAGAATACACAAAGACATTTACAAAAATAATGGTCCAGATAGGTTAGTGACTCTGACTGCTCTGTTAAAGGGCTTGGGTTTAAATCCTGCCTTAACCCCTTCGCACCGACTGTCACATATACGTGCCAGCAACGAATACACTTATCTACTGGCCGACACGCAGACGTGCCAGAGCATTGTTGCGTTTACTGCCGACTGTCACGTATTTGTGCCAGTGCCTTGGAACGTTTTTCAAACTATAATTTCTGCCACAAGATGGCACTGTATGTCCATATGGTTTCAGATACATATACGTTAGACCTTCTATTCGAAATGAGAGAAGCATGACTCACATACACGTGTTTTTGATTATATAACAAATGGGGAACTAAATGTTTCTGAATGGCGTTGATTTATGACGTCTCTTTAAATCGCACTTTATTCGCACGTGGTAGTTGTTTATTGTAAGTAGAAGTTTTATATGCGCTAAAGCGTTGAGTATTTCGATTTACAGTTCAGTTTTTAGAAAATAATTAGATCTTGTTAGACGTGAAGTCTTTCTATTTTTACCGTTTCAATGTCGAAGCGTCGAAAATGTTTAACAGAGCATGAAATAGCAGAAATGATGCAAAATATTTCAGATATTGATTCTGAAATTCTTATATTATAATACTGATTCTGAAAGATTAACTGAAAGACATTTTCCAAAACTTTGTTCAGAAGAGACTGATAAGAAAATGAGATGACGATGCTTCGTTTGTTCACATTCCCGGAAAAATCCTCCAAAACGGCAAATGAGTTATTACGAGTTCAAGGAATGTAACGTAGGACTGTGTGTAGATCCCTGTTTTAAAATTTTTCATACGAAAAGAGAATTTTAAGTAATATATTTAGTTTTCAGATGCATAATGTTAAAAGTCATAAAATGGTGAGTAATTAAAATAAAATGTGTAAAATAGCATTTAAACATGAAATAAGGTAATTAAGTATATATATAAAAAATATCTATAAAGCATAAGCCGTTTAAATACTCTATAGAGCATTATAAACAATGTGTTGATACTTCGGAGATTTCATGGATTTAGGCTTAGTAGCAAAAAAGCCCCCGGCCCTGGAGAGACGCTCGCGGAAGACACTGCCGGCCTCCGCGATAAGCGCGCGTTTTCGCTCGAAGGGGTTAACAGTGAGTTGATGCCTAGAACAAACAATTGGGGGAAAAGAAAATTACAAATTCACTAGAATTTTTCACCTTTTTATGTCCAATCTTAGTAATAAATGAGGGAAAACACACACACAATGAATGATTATAAAGCTAACCAACATAAACCACACAAAAAAATCATATTATTATTGGTGCATATGCAAATGCTGCTTCACAAAGCATCATATTAAACATAATTTCACATTCTACATTTTACTCTTGTTGATATTCTTGTACCTCCAAGATGTAATAAAATGCTAAATGTTTTTTATAGCAGAAATGATTCAGCAAGAAAGGAATTTCTATAATCTAATGTACAATCTAATTTTGACAAATCAATAAAACGATTATTCATAATATTTTGATTCATATTGTTGTAACTTCTTAAGATTAATGATCCAAAAATTGCAATATTAATATTTTAAGATTAATAAAAGATTTTTGTTTGCTTATTTTAAACATATTTTTTGGAATATTTGTTTAAATGGGGGGAAAATTATCATCTGTTAATAACATTTTTATTTCATTTTATTTTCAGGAAAAAAAAAGGGGGGGCAAACTAAGTCCACATTTGTCAAATTAGTCAATTATAATTTTAATGAATTTGATCAAATTTATCCTTCTCTTAATTACTGAGCTATTCCATTCAAAGGTAATAATTAGTTTTTAATTAGATCAATACAAGTTTCACTGCATTTCGACTGGCAGTATTACACAAGTACAGAAAGAAGATTATGAAATTAACTGCAGAATGTTCTTTAAGGAAATAGAAATTTCTCCGTTCCAGATAAAAATCCATGAACTTTTCACAGCATTGATTTGCAATGGATTCTTAAACCTATATTAAATGTTAATAAAAACATAGCATTTAATATGACAACTGAAATTTCTATTTACATTACAACATTTAAAAAATTTCAGAATTTGCAAATGAACAAAGTTTCCTATTATAATGCTGAAAATCCTCTCACACATAACTTCGATGATCCAGTTAGCTCGGGATTTCAATAATTCCAAGTATGTTGGATTATCACATTTATTATGAGAGCACAAACAATCTTTTTAATATAATTTACCCTATTATAAGAATTAAACATTTAAATGAAGTTCTACACACAGCAACTGTACAAACACATGATAAGTATTACAAAGATTTAATACAGATTACTTACAGATAAATTACAGAATATGCATAATTATTCTTAGTCAATTAAGTTTTGCAATCGACCATGTTGTTGCATGGAGACTTTCCTGGGTTCAAATGTTTACCTTGTCAAAACATCATTACTTCTCCACTTTTCATTAGAGGCGGACAAAACCACTCATTTATGGAATCAGATCAGAAACATTCATCAGGTTTTGTACACATTTCTGCACACGGAAATTAAGTACTTTTAAGGACCTATGAGCAAATGGGAACTGAATAAATTCAATTAAAAATATTATCTATGCCTGAGTTTCACTTTTGCAATACCATCCTAAAAATAAAATAGATCCCTAAGTAGTACGCATTATTGCTAAACATGAATTAATTAACATAATTGTTAATAAGTTTGAGAATAAAATAAACTTTATGCAATTTATTAAGTAGAGTTAAATATTTTACACTTATAATTGCTTGGTAATATCCGAAAGAAGATAAGTGACATTTACGTTTTACTAAAAGTTGTATTATGTTGATTTTTGTTACGATCTCATTTTGTCACATACTTGGTCAGTCTAGAGGTTTAGTAAATAGCAGGTAGATTTTATGACAAACTGCATAGGTTAAAATGAGAAGTAAGATCATAATCAGCATGATTCATAACCAAAAGACTGAATGTTGTCACCGCTGCTGCTTGTCTAGAGAGAGACCTGCTGATTAGAAGGAACCTGAAAGGCCTGATGCAGGTAAGGGTGGCAAGTGTTGAAAGTTAGTCAGGTTCTGTTTCATGCAGTTAGTGTCGCAGCTTCATGTACAGTTCCAGGGGTTGTAACCCAGTTAATATACTTTAAGGTTCCAATAAGCCATTAAAGCACCAGAGGTGATAAGTTGTTTTGTATTATTTTAAGTAGATGCATAGAATATGTTTTACTTGAATTTTTACATTTTTATAATTTATCTTCTGACCACAGTGAGTATTAATGAAAGGCAATAACTCGCTTTAATATGTAGAGATAAATTTTAAGTGTAAGCAGTTAGTTATAAATAATTACATTAGGTATTTTGATAATCATTATGGATTTACATGACCACTATTAAATTTTATTTTTTAACAATATTTGTTAAAAAAGCCCTATTTAAATCAAAATCTAATAAAATTTCATAGTATAAAGTATATGTAGTTAAAGTATAAGTTTAAAGTTTCTTAAACGATATTAAGATAATTACGCATCAAAAGCTACAGAACATTTATGTTTTGTAACAACAACAGTCAACAGAATATTTATCCGTCATTTAAATTTGAAGCCTTCCCAGACATTTTGGCTAGTTTATAACGATTTCCTTTTCTTTAAGCATCTTTTCTAACAATTAGAGATTAGTCTCAATATGCAAATCAATGCTGTCGCTAGTTTCTGCGTCTTTATCTCCTAACTTGTCAACCTCTCCACAATGCACCTATAAGAGTTTAATTGATCTGGTAAAAGTTAAATAGTCCCAAACCCCTGACAGACGTGAAGCATATTATCGCTATGTCTGAAATTAACTACAATAATATTAGAAAAAGGTTTAAATAAACCTCTTATTTAAAAAGAGAGTAGAACATAAAGGCATGTTCTGATGCTAACAAAATCAATTACATCTCATGGTGATGTAATTAAACAAGAACAGTCAAATTCAAACTAATAATGTGGACAAAGATTATACAATTTAATTTTAATTTAATCTAGCTCAATAACTCTATCATATGAGGAAATAGAAATGGGGAATTATAGTAAAGGTTGAAATCATAAACAATTGGGTAATTTACATAATAATAACTGGACATATCTTTGAACAATAATTTCCTTTATGTATTCAGTTTCTTTCTTCAACACGTTTCCTTTTCCTTTTAGAATTTTTGGATTTAATTAAGGATTTCTGTTATTCTGAAAAACACTAAATGCATTTAGAATGCACAGAAAACACAGCTAATTTTATTTCTTTAGTAATATGAACATTCAGAAGCAATATGAAATATATATAGTAAAGGCCAGCTAGAGCTGATGTGGCAGAATTTCTAGAATTTAGTGACACACCAAACTACAAAATCTAGAAATGGCAAAACGTTTAGGATTTATAGCAGGCATTGAAAGCAGAATTTAGAAAGGCACTATGCAACAGAATTTAGGATCCACAGAGATTGCATCAGGTGGGAAAATGCCTATGTGTATGATGCAT